CGTGCCGGCCGCTCTCGCGTTTGGCGATGGTTCGTCGTTTTGTTTGTGTTGGGCGCTAGAGGAATTTTTTGTTTACCTGCCGGAGTGGACTGTGGATGCAGTGTTTTTCGTGTGTGTGAAAATGTGATGGACGTCTATGGTGAATTTCCGTGAAACGTGTGCGGCGCCGCTGCGCGAAATGATTGGGATTATCCAGCGGAGATGTTGCGCGTTGCGACCGCCTGTCGTCCTGCTGCTGCTGTCGGCGTTCACCGTGGCGCCGAGTCTGGCCGCTGTACAAGGTAAGGCGCCTCCAAAGACACGACCGCTGCCTAGAAGTGAGCCTTGCCAACGTTCGCCGACGCCTCGCTGGCCGCGAAACCGTCGAAATGCGTCGCGGCGGCGAGTGCCGGGTGTTGTTTTGGTTGGGGCCCGGTTGTCAATTTTGGGGTTATGTTTACCCTCGTTCCCCCAGACGTTGCGGTTTTCTCATTCAAGTCTTTCTCGGAATTGGGGGATAAGTGTCAACTCATCTATGTTGAAAACAACTTGTTCAACAGTTTATTCTTTCCCCTATTTTTAGCTTTTTAAAACTGTAGTGTTGTCTAAAATACCAATTAATATAAATACATGCTTGTTCCAGACATCAATCACTTAAATATTCTGTAGACTGTTTTTAAACCTAGCACTAGCATATAATCTTATCTATATCTTATTTCTAAAATTTGCGTTCTGTTCTCGATTTTAATTTTGTGTACAATCGTTACTTTTATATAGTAGCTGGTGATTTTGTAGATTTTGTGAAGTCCAGCCATAATTACTTGTCTTCCTTATTAGGGAGACAAATATCGAAACACCCTTCTGAGCAAATTTGTACTTCATTTCATTGTAAATTTTTGTAATGATGGAAATATTTTGAAACTAATTTTCTTGTGCCATATAGAATGAGTTAATTTTAGTCCGTGTCTCTGGTATGTATGCCATCTTCAATTATAAGGCTACTTGGTTAATGAATGAGACCATTCAATTATTACTTTCTACTGCATGCTATATTTGTTTTACTGTTGAGGTACATTTTGCCACTACTCTGTGTGGGGCTCATTTAGGGTCCCCCTGCACTCGGTCTCGGTGGCCACAGCATCCCCTGGACCCCCACCTCTCCCATTTCGCCGAAGTCGCTCAGCCAGTAGTTGTGCGGCAGTGAGATCTGCGATTGCTCGAGCCCGGGGCCGGACGCTCAAACTTGGTTCTATTTATTAATGCATAAACGTCGCGGCGTTTTGGGGGATTGCCAAAGTTTTGGGGGCCGGTAACGCCACGCCAGCGCCGGTCGGGGGTGTCGACCGTTGGGGTGCGGTCCTCTAGCCGGTGAGATGCTGGGCGCCTCCCCTCCCACACCCTCCCACACCCCGAACCCCGCACCCCGCGCCGCGCGCCCCGCCCTCCAACACCTTGCGCCCTCCGAAGCGCCACCCCGCTCCAAAATTACTGTCAAATTCCAAGTTGCTGCCGCATCAGCATCAAGCGTCGGCCCACTACCACCAGCAGCGGCCACCCCTCTCCTTGTTGCCAACGAGACTCTGACGGACTGCCCAGCATGCTCGAGGAGCTTTGCCTGTTTATATACATGACAATCAGATGATAAAATTTTATTCGTTCGACCTTTTTATCCCAGCCCTCCTCCCCCCCCCCCTTTCTGCTCCGCTCGGCTTGGCGAAGCTCGTAATTCAAAATCGGCGCGGCACTGCCGCTCGCTGCCGCTGCACACGGCCTGCCGCACTCGGCGGTCCATTTTGCCGCCCTTTGGCCTTTCGCTCACTTTGTTTCCTCTCGAGTTGGCATGCATGGCCCCGGCCCGAGGTGCGGAGCGGAGAAGAGAGCGTGCGGCCCTATAGCGGGGATCAATATTTCAGTGCGAATATTGTTCGGTTTGACGTTTGAATTTATGCCGGCTGTGAGGGGGCGGCGGCGGCGAGGGCTGGGGGCGGTGGCGGCCCGGGGGGCGGGGCGCGCCGCGTCGCCCGCACCCCCGCCCGCCCCCAACCCGTAAAATAAAATGAAGACGTTTCCGGCTGACTCTCCACGGCGTATGCCGATATATATGTGTGCCAAGGTGGTCTCCACGGCGCACGTGTTTCCCGCCAGGCAGCCCCTTCCTTACCCCGATCGGCTGGGGAGGGAGGAGGAGACTTTGGCGGGGCTCGCGACGATGCCGTCCAGGGAGTTGTCCATGATGGAGGGAGCCTCCCCACCTGGAGCAACTGGAGCAGCCTACGTGTGTGTATGTATGTGTGTGTGTGTGATGCGGGATTGTTAACATTCTCCGGGCAGCGAAGTCCTGGAAGCAGTGTCGGCGCGCCTAATCTGCGCCGCCCCCGGCTGGCCGCGTCCTCCGCACGGAATTTGTATCGCGCGCACGGCCAGGGGACACGGCACGGCCAGGACACGGCAGGCGGCCCGAGCGCTGCGCGTCGCATGCGGCGGTTGCGCCTCCGTTTTTGGTCCTGCGTCGCGTCGACGCCCGCCGCCGCCCGCCGTCCTCCTTTTGTTGCATACGATTTAATCTGGGCCTGGCTGCTCCGCTCGGCGAGGTGCTCGTTTGCGACCCGGGCCGTTGTTGGCAGCGGCGGCGGCGGCACCTGAGCGTGCGTCCCGTGTAACGAGCAGGGCGAGGAGGAGAAATAAGAATGTGACGTTTATTTCGTGCTTGAAGGGCTTGTGCAGGCGCGAGCAGCCCGCCGCCGCGGGGGGAGATTCCTCTCAGGACTAAAAGTATTTATGCGACGTGTGACGGAGAAATCTTATAATATGCTGACCCGCGCCTCATTCGGTTTTTCCGACGATTGTTGTAAACTTATTTGATACGTTTATGTTATCTTGGTTATGTCAGGGTTTTTTGGCGGCGAGGAGGACGACACGGTCAGTGCGGCGTCTCGGGGCTGAAGTTTCGTGGCCGGCCGAGGTGCCGAGTACGGTGACATCCAATCCGCGAGGACGGGCGGGGGTGGCCAGGGGCGGGCCGGGTGGGGCGGCGGGGCGAGGCGCGGCGCGGACCAGAGAGGCTCTCGGCTGGCTGGAGTGGAACGAGATGGGGGAAAAAACATCGCCGAGAGTATTCGTCGTAAAGAAGGAGAAGAGTGAGAGAAGGGAGTAGGGAAAGGGCAGGGGTGACTAGGGCTCGTCAGAGTGGCGCCCGCGGGGCCGGCGGGACCTCAAGCGAGGCGGGGCGGGGCGGCCGATGTGCGCGTGGGCGGCGCGGCGCCCGGCGCTTGCTTTGGCTCGATGCAACAGTGCGCCTTATTTCTTTGATTTACAGCGCCGTGCGGAACGATGCCTCGTTAGCAGAAGAGCAGCGCGCGCGCGATCGAGTGTTTGTGAAAGAAAACAAAATGCTCGACACACAAAAAGACAGAAAGCAAAGAACAACAACCAAATCATGACGGGAATTTTATATTAGCCATCCTTATTGAAAACGGCAAAGTAAAAGAGTTTCGTCGAAAAAAATAAAACAAAAAGGGTAAAAGACGGATTTTCTACGCTTTATGCTGCTTATATAGCTTGCCTGCTGGTCGGGTTTAATTTGGTCGATCTTTTACCCTGTGCTTTTTGCCCCTCCCCCCCTCCCTTTTCCTCCTGCCCCGCCCCTTTCACCGACAAGTCTCAGAGTGAGTGGGGCTCTTTGTGGAGTAATGTCGCCTGGGCCCCCCTGAATTAATCAGCTGTTATGATCGCCGTCCCATCACGGCCCCTGCGGGTGGGGTCGCGGGGGGAGGAAAAGGAAGGGAGGGGAGGGGGGGAGGAGAGAGGCTTGTCGTGTTAATGCTCTGCTCAGGGGGCTGTAAGGCGCCGCGGCGCTAGCCGGGGCAGCCAGTCAGGCAGCACAGGACCTCGCGAGGGCAGGGGGGAGGGAGGGGGGATGATCTTTTGACGCGTGGGCCTAAAGCTAGTCTAGTGTGGTGAAAGGGGTGGTGCGCGCTAATTCTTGGGGGTGGACATACACAACACACTGCCTACGCGACTTTACTCTTTTGTTTTCTCTCTTCATAAAGCCCCCTAATCACCTTTTTTTTTCTCTTTTTGGTGTGTGTGTCCACCTCATTCCACGTGCCTGACCCGCAAGGGGGGCGTCGTGTGTATACTGCGGTTCAATATTTGCGGAGCGCCCGGAGGTGGAGGTGGAGGGTGTCCCCTGGGGCTCGCCGGGGTCCCGACGGGAGTCCCCCGCAGCTACGGCGGAGTGCCCCGTAATGGGCGTTGGTCGCCGGCGCGCTTCTTGGGCCGCGGCTATAGTGCTGCCGAAGGCCGTGAAGCCGCGCCCTCTCCTCCCCTCACCCGCTGCGCTGTGCCACGCCCCAGCTCCAAACTTTGCCAGTATGCCTGGCGGCTGCCGCCACCGCCGCCGCCGCGGCGTTGGATCGGAGGGGGTGATTGTGCTGGCCCGGGGGTGGCTGTGCCGGGCTGGGGGTGGCCGGGGGCGGGCGCGGCCCGGTGGTTGGTACACGCGGAGGGTGCGAGCCCTCTGCTCTGCTGCTGCGGGAAGAAATGCGCACTCGCCAAAAAGAAAAAAAAAATCTGAAGAAAGAAACGAGGAAAAAAATATTTATTTACATTTCTTTTAAAATTTACGTTTCTCTACTCTTTAGAAAGGGAACAAGAAAGATATGAAAATAAAAGGGAGGCCATGAATCTACTAAAGGCGTTACAAATCGCGTGCAGTGCGCCCGAGCGTCTGCTGCTCCTTATTGGAGGGCACTTCCCTCTATATTTTCTCGGGTAATGAACAGGTTAAAACACTTGTTGCAAAGTTTTTGCCGGACAAAGTGCGCCTTTTCGCCGGATTCATGGCAACACGTAATTCCTCCCTCGCGCCCCTCGTAAATCGCCGCTCTGACGCGGTAATGTCCGCTCTTCCCCTTCCATTCATTTTTTTTTTTTTGTAATTTTATTTTTTATCTTTTCCATGGTGCCTCTCGTAGCAGAACCTCGTTTCTATTATTAAAATTACTACTCACTAAAATTACTGCGATAATTTTGTTTTCATTATTTTACGTTTTTCTGCAAATATTTTTTTTTACCCTTTGCAAAAGCGTTGGCGGCGTGTCGTCCTGCAGGGGGCACGGACCACCGCCGCCACACCGCCACCCCCTCCCGCGCGCCCCCCCACATCTCCGCCCCCGCCCCATCTCTCGGCATTGGGATGCTGTGAACCGTTTTGTTTGTCGCGAATCCATCCCGCCACGCTCTCATCTGTCTGCGTCCCTTCTCTCCCCCGTGGCCAAAGTGGGTCCATGTTGACTGCGGG